GTGTGTGTGAGTGAGAGAGAGAGAGATCTGGGGATAGAGGTAATTCTGTGTTCAATAACAGGAAATCAGTACAGCAGTCTCTGAGGATCTAGAAACCATTTCAGCAGGGAACTGAAAATGGTTACTAGAGGGACAGGGTTTTGAAGTTGTCAGAAAGTAAATGGGCATTCTGAGAGCAGCACTTGGGTGCTATCTACAGAGTAGTTCAAGGGCCTGAGTCTTGCTTCAGTTCAGCAGAGGCCATAATTCTGGGAGGCTGACCTGGCTAGAGAAGGCTTTCTCTGATTATGTGCAGCTCTTGTGTAGGGGGTACAGGTAAAATAGTGGGAAATTGAAGTACAACCAGTTCCTTTTTTTTTTTTTTATTTAATGAACCTGAAAATATACTGATTCTCTGATTTTCCTGCTGTCTTGTGGTATCGGGGACCGAACTCAGGACCTTGTGTTTGCAAGGCAGGCGCAGTGCCACTGAGCTAAATCCCAGGCCCTTTTCCTGCTATCTCCTTATGTGTGCTTGTGGGCAAACCTGCAAGTATACAAAACATGTAAGGGAAGCAGAAATGTTTGTTTCTTTGATCAGAAACACTTGGTGGTGATTCTGCTTCTTAGGATCCATGCCTACCCCCCTGAGAGGTGGGGTTAAAGCTGATGACCTGGGGAAGGCAGAAGATCAGGCCTAGGCATTTTCTCTCACTCTTGTCTGCCATGGAGTGTTGTCAAGGGGCACTCAAATTCCATACATCTGGTGTAGCCTAAGTTCTTTTCCTGGGGAACATAGTACTAAATGATTTAAGATTACCATATATAGTGATGCTTGATTTCCTTAATGTCTACGTGGATAAAGACTGCTGGCAGGGACAAAGTAGCTATTTAAGAAAGGAAGTAAGTGAACTCTGTTGGGTCAGATCTTTTTCTGAAGATTGGAAATTAATGAAGCCCTCATCCCTTTGATTTGTGCTACGTAAGTATTTATCTCATCTCCTGACTCAAGGATAAATTTTCTGGTCTTTGGAACTTTCTTCCCTAGGAGTTAATGTATAAATTATATTTATGATCCACAACTATGAAAATGCCCCACTCCAGGAGCATGAAGCAAAGAGCTACAGTAAGTTTTGCTGATTAGTTGAAACACAACAAAATTTCAGCCATCTGGATGACTGTCATTAGCCAGCTATCAGTAGAGCAAGGCCCTCTGTGTCATATGTTTAAGGTTGTGGTCCATTGCCCTGGAACTGAGTCTTCATCCCATGAGGAAGGTCCTCTAGGGGCTTTACATTCCTTGTTCTAGTGTTTCTAGGATATGACCTCCTGCTTCTCATGTTCCTTTGATTTCTCAGATGACCACACTCTTCCTTCTGAGCCCTGGTCTTTACTAAGCTAAGTGGGTTTTCCCCCACCAAAACTCCTGAGAGGTTATGCCCCCCCATCCCCAGGAGACTTTCTGCCCCTTTGCTTACTATGCCCTGGAAAGCAGCACCTCAAGGCCTATCTGAGCATGCTGCACTCTCCATTGCTCACCTTTAGACTCAGTTCCCCTTCTACCAACTCTTCTCATCACCCTATGTATATTCCACTGTGACACCCCCCCCCCCCCGCTCTGTGCCACTAGCTTGGCTCTAGTCCTTTTGGAATACCTGAGTCTTAACAACGATGAACTTCAGCAGGCAGTTCTACCTTTGCTCTTCAGGGACTCAAGTCTGCTCCTTTCCCCTCTTGCAGGTATATTTGATGTAGTCATTTAGTGTGGTGTGGTGGGAAGAGGTAGGTAGGCTGCAGTCTGCAACGCAGAGAGCTGAGGGAGGTTTGGGTAGCCTGCTGTCACTGTGGGGATGGTATTCAGACGAGAGAAGACTTCATACTGTGACCTAACCCAGGACCCTCCCTGGAAGAGAGAGCTTAGCCCAGCTGTGTGAGTGTGTGTGCATGTGTGTGCTCATATGCACCTGGATGTAAAATGACTTATCTGGTTGTGTTACTCAGGGTGGGCTGGGGCCTCACCAGAAAAATCCCCCAAGCCTTCCCATGACAGATTTTTTTCCTCGTACCCTCTTCAGAGGGTTCATGGGGTGAGGGTCCAGGTGGATTGAGGGGATCTCACGATGGATAACCACTAAGGCCACACTGCTGCCAGGGGGATGGAGGGAGATGAGATGGCCCTAAGGCCCTGGTACCTGGCTTTGGTTTTCCATCTTCTTTCCTCAGGATGCCCCTGAGGCCTGGGACCTGTGCCTGTTTTAGAGGAGCATCTGTGGCTGGGTGATCCAGCTGCTGGTGTGATCATGGGCTTCCCTCCTCTCAGCAGGGCAGGCGCTTCTGCCCCAGAGACTGGGCAACTGGCTGTTTCTATGACGTATTTATTTTTACTTGTGTTTCATGTCACTTTTTTAAAAAAGCAAACAGAACAATTGTAAGTCAGTATAACTGCCTATCAGTTTTCTTTATTTCTCTTTTTGTAAAATAAAATTTAAATTCAAGGCAGTGTTGTTTGATTAAGGAATTGTCTGGACAGCTGTTTAGCTGAGTGATGGAATATTACTCAGCATAATGGGCACTGGGACAGCACTTGGGGTTGAGATAGGTGGGAACAGAGCAGACTGCTGGCGGGCTCTTTGTTGGCAGTGTAGTTCACTTGGCCTTTTCTGCCTTTGCTTACATAAAGAGGTTTGGGTGCTCTGCTACTGCTGCACTTCCAGGCTCTTGAGGAAACAATGAAGCCGACTTTAGTGTGTTTGAAGCTAGTTGGTCCCCAGCCATGGCAGGTCCTGCAGGGATAGTCCTGTCTAAGCTGTGAGTGCTTGGGAGTTGGGCCAGAATCAATGCCTTCAGTGGGTGGGAGATGGTGTGTCTTAAGTGGTTGTTGATGGCAGCATGTGCAATCTGTCATCTGAGTTAGGTGACTAGGAGTAGGGGAAGAAGAGGATAGTCTAGTCTAGCTCTCCCAAGTTTAATTTCTTTGAGGAGAATATTCCTGGGAAAGCATTCTCTAGAAAAGTACGAAGAGAATTGAGCCTCTGTGGAGATTTCTGGGACAGAGGAGGGTAAGAGGAGACTAAGGCCAAATCTGGGTTCATGATAGAGGAATGAATATATGTTGTTGCCATATAGGAATGGGAGTGAAGAGTGACCGGGATGGGAAGTCTGGGTGACCAGGTCTCCTTAGGCCTGTTGTTAAGACTTGAAAAAAAAGTGCTTTGCGAGGCATGCTGCTGCCTCCTCGTGGTCAATCGGGGTCTCGCAGGAGTCTTGCCAAGGATCTCATCTGCGCTGTTACCAGCAGGCTAGGAGGCTAATGGCCCGCAGCCTCAGTGGCAGGCAGATTGTCCTCCCATAACAGAATGCTGAAGCTCCTGAGGCACATCCTGAACTCTGGTGTGGGGCTCTGGAATTCTCCAACCAAGCTAAGGAAGTAAGCAGAGAGGACAAGACGAGGAAAGGGCAGCTCCAGACAATGGTTTTCTGGGAGAAGCTCATCAACTTCTGAAAAGCAGGATCGACTGTGCAAACCCTGCGGCAGAGGGTGTCTTTCTCTGAGCTACTACTGCTATGCCCCCTCCTTGTGTCTCAGGAAATGCTTGCAAGTGTACTGGCCACCTTCCTGGGGCACCTTATAATCATGTGGTTGATGATCACAGGTAAAACAAGTCATGACCTGGCCTGTCCTGAATGCCTGTGAAAGGCCGGCTGCCCATTCTGCCAGTCTGCCTGAACTATCCACAGACTTTGTCCTGTGTATGAAGTTCCATGCAGTAATGGGATCCACAGATATACTGCCCCATTGTTGCTTTTTCAGCAGCCTCCTTCCTGATGTCCTGAATGATCCCCCTCCTAAACAGCAATCCTTGTCAGCAGGGCCAAGATACCCTTGGCCCAGCCTGCCTTGTAGCTAAGCTTATGAGAATAGTAGTCACCTCCTCCACCTCCTCTGCTAGGCTTCTCGAGGACAGGGCCCCTAGCAGTATGAGCTCCAGGAGGGCCAGGCTTTTGTTTTTGTCCACTCAGTATCCCCAGCCCCTGGAACTATCAGGAAATGTACTCCATAAATGTTGGATGGATATTACTCGTGCTTATGGAAGGAGAGCTGATGGAGGGTTGAGTGGAGGCAGGAAGCGGATATTTGTGCCGTCTACAGGTTGGATCCGTCAGATTCGGATTCAGCTTTCTCAGCTGTAAAAGGCAGCAAGCGGTCCTGCTCTGCTTGGTTTCCGGTCCTGTCATAAAACCTCTCTGAGAGAAAGCCGCAGGAGCAAGGGTGGTGCAAATGCTAGAGGCTGACCCAGTGGTGCCGTGCCTCTAGCCGTGACCCCAACCTGGCACTCTATCACGGCCCAACGAGCTGATTTCCCCCACTACTGTGCCCCAGCTTTGGTGGATGCTTCCACCAACTCAGATACCCTGGGGTGTAGACCAGACCCCCTCCACAGCCGGGTAATTGGGAGGCTGGAAGAAGACAAACGGTGGGTTCCGCCCCAGCCTGGTTGGGCTGGGTGTCTAGTGCGCGTTGCCATGGAGACGGGGTGGGGCAGGGCGCCCCCCCCCCCCCCGTGTACCCAGCGCATGCGTCCATGGCCACGGCCACATCCCTCCGCGAGAGAGGGCGGAGCGAGCGTGAGCGACGGGCGCGCGCAGGCTCAGCTACCGAACCCGGAGCCTCTTGCTCTGGCCGACGTCCGTAGGCGGCTGCTGAGGTGAGGGCCGGGTGGAGCAGGGCCGTCCCCGCCACGGGGCGTGGGCCTGGGACCCCTGTCCGCGAAGGCTGCACCTCAGGGCTCCTCGGGTCCCTTCTGTAGCCTCTTGGCCTGGACCGCTCTGTGGTTCTTGTCCCCCCCACACCTGGTCCCCACCGGTCCGAGGCCCAAGGTGGCCTTGGGCCACCCGGGGTGCCGAGGCCGTGCAGCTGAGGAAGTGAGGGGAGCAGTCACCTTTAACTCCGCCCTGTTGCCTAGGCCGCCCGCGCCTTCCAGCAGCAAACTTTGGCGTTCCTTAAATTGCAGAGGTGCGTAACCTCTGTGAGGCGGTGGTGAAAGAAAAGGGGCAGAGCAACTGAGCGAAGCTCCAGCGAAGCCGGGAGCCAAGAGCTGGAGGCAGCGCCCTTCTGCGCGGGCCCGCGGAGCCTCGGCCTGCCCTCTCCGCATTGGCCCCAAGTTTTTCGGGTGTGGGAGCCTTTAGGGGACTGGCCCTGGGCCGAGGAGCATGTGAGCTGGCTCGGGAAGCTGCGCCCTGCCGCCTATTTGACACGCCCGCTCTCGGTGGAGATATCTGCCCAGCGCTTCTGACTCGAAGGGAAACTGAGGCCCTAGAGGGCACGGCCTCCCCAAGATCAAAAGCAGGGGCTGTTTTAGCACCTTGTGTTGACTGGACCTCTCCAAGACGGCCCTGAGCTGGGCCCTAGTGAAGAGCCTCACCACTTTGAGGCTAGGTCTGACCTCTGATTTTCCCAAGGTGTCTGAGATGGTTGTAGAGGCCCAGGTGGGCTTTCCCTGCAAAGGGGTTAGTCAGGGTATGGTGCCCTGCTGACTGGTTATTTCCTGGGTTTGGGTAACTGTTCCTTTCTGCCCGCACCACTGGAGCACTTGGCCCCTGCTGCACTGGATGCCATGAATTGCTAAAAGCCTGCCTGAGAAGGTGAGAGGCCCCCCACCCCCACCCCACGAGAGCACCTTTCTCTTTGTTTGTGAGCGAACTTTGCATTGCCCTTTCTCCTTTAAGTGCTGACCAAGACTCTGAGACCACAGGAACATTCCCCACCCCCTCTTTACTGATCACTTTGGTAGTCTGGAGAAAGAGAAAGATGGAGATTTAAGTCCTCCTTTTTTGGGTATTGACCCCTGGGCTTTTACACTGAGCTGTATCCCCTGCCCTTTTTTTATTTTTTATTTTGAGGTTTTGCTAAATTTCCCAAACTGGACTAGAACTTTTGATCCTCCTGCCTCAGCCTCCCAGAGTGCTGGGATTACTGAGAGGATAGGCCGGAGTGAGGGCATGTCACTCCCAGGGGAAGTGGTGGGCTAGATGCTGGGGCCTTCCCAGCTTTGGTTTCAGAGATGTCCAACATGGATTAAATGTTTGGAAGCCAGGGAGGAGAGAATGTGGAAATAGGATGCTGGAGTCAGACCTCCTGGGTTTTCATTGCCTGTGTTTTGGTTCACGTGGCTCCTTTTAATACCTGTGTATCCTTGAATAAGTGTTTTAACTTCCAACTACTTCCACCTACTTGTTTCCTGATCTGTACTTACTTGGTTGGATTGTTTTGTGGATGAATGTAGTAGTGTGTATCAGTAGAATATTGTCATCATTATCATCAAGAAAACAGGGATGAGACTAAGTGGAGACACAACGAGTAGGACAGGGAGTGCATGAAAGGAAGATAATGAAACTTCTGGGCAGGACTACAGATGGGAGAGAAGACTGGTGGGAGGTGCTTCAGTGTCTGACACTGGAGGTTTAGAAATGTGCCAGACCTTTGTGAGACAGACGCTGCTTGTTGACTCCAAAGACAATTTTGCAGCGTAATATTTTCACTAGGAACAAATAATTCCATAGAGCTAAGTTTTCCATAGGGCTAGAGCATTGCCTTTTCAGTTCCAAACCTTAGTATTGTAAATACTAATTTTTTAAATGACTGAAGTGGCAGTGTTCCCCAGGCAGGCCCATGTTTCCTTTCCTGTGTAAACAGTATTCTGTTCTGTGTGCTGTGAGTCCTGCCTCCTTCCTGTGCTGCTCAGGTGAAGCCCTCTGGAAGAGGGTTAGGCCTCTGGCTCAGAACTGCATGGTGGCCTTGAAAGGCTCACACTGGCCTCTGGTTGATTCTGGACCTGTCCTGTATAGCTTCTCTGCCTTTTATGAGTAACTGTTGCTTCCTCCTCTTTCGTTTCCACTTCTAGCCACTTTTTCCTCTTCTTTCTGTTTCTAATCTGGGGGCTGGGAAAGTGAAGTGAAGCTTCTTAGCATTGGTGGTTCATGTCTGAGAAGCCCAGGTTGGGTTTTGTTTGGCTGTTCAGGCTGGTTCTGGATGGGTGAGCGTGTGGATAGTAAGGTCCCTATAGGCCAGATGTGCTTATTAGCAAAGGAGTGTTTCCTGTGAAATGCTTTTCCTGTAGCACATTTTCTCCCTCATGGTTTTCCTTTTTGTTATAAATGTTTGGACCCTGACACTTGTCTGTCCTCGCTCTGGAAGTAGTGTGTGAGGCTTGGGGAGGCTGGACTTCACAGTGGCTCAGCTGTGGGAAGGAAGAGGCAATGAGGAGAAAGATAGATTGGTAGTATCTGGACCATCTTGGGAGAGACTGCTCAGGACCAGAAGTTTGTTTTTGGATGACTCATTCCTCTGTCTGTGACTCAGTTTCCCCGGATGTGACCAGGGATGCCAGCTGCCATGCTGAGCTGCTCCAAGAGCTTCAATGACTGTGATTAAGAAATAAAGAGCTTGTGGCTTCAGTCATCCTTTGTGGCTCCCTTCTAGGTCACTCTATGTGTAAACACTTCTGGCCCTCCCCTTCCTGGGTCAAAGCACCTAAGGCAGGGCAAGGTTGAGCTAGAACCCGTCAGCAGGCAGGTGAGCATGGTCAGAGCAGGCTACCAGCCTCCTCTCCCTTCTGTCTCCTTTGCAGCTGCCTTGGGGTGTGGTGTGGGGGGCCCAGCGCCATGTCGGACCTGCTACTACTAGGCCTTGTTGGGGGCCTCACTCTGCTACTGTTGCTGACGCTGCTGGCCTTTGCCGGGTACTCAGGCCTGTTGACTGGGGTGGCAGTGAGTGCTGGCTCATCCCTCATCCGCAACATCACTGTGGCCTACAAGTTCCATGTGGGGCCCTATGGCGACACTGGGCGGCTTTTCACTGAGAGCTGCAGCATCTCCCCCAAGCTCCGCTCCATTGCTGTCTATTATGACAACCCTCACACGGTAAGGAACCTCCGTGGAGTTCTGCCCCATGGATGGACCTGGGCCAAGGCTTTCGGGGGGGATTGGGGAGGGGGGATTTTGGGGAATGGGTGGGAAAGTCTTTGAGCTGGCTTTGTAGATCACCTCCTCTCTGAGCTTGAAGCGTCTTTCATATTTAGCTTAGATTCCTGCTTCAGGCATCTATTACTTGCCTTTCTACTTGCCTAGGTCTGATTCTCCTTGCTCATGGCAACTTATGCATTTGTAGAGCAGTGAACTATATCACTGTGAGTCCCTAGCTTCTGCCTGGACTTTGGTCCCTTTGCTCCTCTTGCTGTTCTTCCCTCTTCCATCTCCACAGTTTCTGCCCATTCTTTGAAGTTATATCTTGTTTCTGTGCTTTCCCTCCCTCAGCTTTCCCACTGTGACTGTAAGCCCTCTCAGCCTCTTGGCATAGGGCATGGAACTCCATCTCTTCAGCATTCTGGTGCCTCCTGTCCCAGTGATAGGACATTTCCTTAGACTTCAAGCTGCCTTGTTGGGAGAGGGCCAAGTGGAACTAGATAAAGTGCTCAGAATGTCTAGGATGCTGGAGTCAGAGACGAATCTAGCATCACGGCACCCTGTGGGTATCTGGCTGTCCTACAGCTGTAGTGAGTCAGGGCTTGCCAATGTAGTCCCTTGCTGTGCTATGGGGTGGTGCTGCCCATAGCTGGATGGGCTGACAGCCTGCCAAGGACTCTTCAGCCTCTGTTGCCAAACCATGCCAGACCGCAGATTTGGAACCCCCCATTCTCAATTTCCTTGTCTGGAGAGCGCAAATGGACAAGCCCTTGAGCCTACCTGCTGTCTGCTGACCAGGCTTCACTGAGTGTATTCAGTTGAGACAAGGGTGTGCTGATTGTTTCTGTCTGCCAAGTCCTGCTTTCATCTGAACTCTGGAGATGAATCAGACCTGGTCTTATCCTCAGGAAACTCTGTGTGGTTGGCGTTAGTCTCACACAAGTAATTCTTTAACAAGGCACTGGACTCAATGCTTACAGAAGTTTGAGCTGTGGGTTTGAGGAGGGGACCTTAAGTCTGCTGGGCAGGCTTGGAGAAGAGCTGGATTTCAGGGGGGCTTCCTTAGAATTTGGAACTGCCATAAAGGGCTACTTGGCTAAAGAAACTAAGAGCAAAGGCCTAAAGACAAGGGATAATGAGGAAGTATAGCCAGTACATATATGGTGAGTGGAGAAAGAGGTAGAAAGGTTTTCTGGGCCAGGTGATGGGAGGTACAGCAAGTTGGGAGGAAGGGCATGGCACCATTTTCCAGCTTCATTTTAGGAAGCTACCCGGAGGGCAAGAGGAGGAGGGAAGGAGATGAGGTACAAAGGCCATGGAAGAGATTGGGCTGGGCTGAGGTGAGAGGTGACATGGACTGAATGAGGAATGATACAGGGAGGTTTTGTAGTCATGCTGGGATATGGCACTGACTGACGTCAGGAGCACTAGGGGCCAAGTGGGATGAGACAGGCACTGGGCTGTGGGAAGCTCCTAAACTAGATGCCTGGCTTTTACTCTGTCAGGGTCTGTTGTGGATATCCTTGCCTTTCTTCTGCCCTTCCCTGGTCCCTGCCCCTCCTTCCACACCTGGCCTAGGTGAAACCCTCTGCAAGGTCCCTGTGTTTGCCTCTTTTCTCCTCAGTATTTCTTTGTGTTCTGGAAGCCTCTTGGGTTAGAGGTGCTAATTCCAGGATGGGAAAGTACGTGGAAGCAGGTACTCTGGGCTCAATGCCACATAAGCTTTCTGAGCCTCTATTCCTCATTAGTGGAGTAGTGGTAAAATACGTGCTTCATAATTGAGCCTGCAAGGATTCAATTAAGTGATAAGGTGAGGTGTTCATTCCACCATCTGGTCCTCAAAATGTTTAACAACAGCTAAGAAAAAGGTGGAAAAAAACACATTAGCATGTGCTGAAGTCAGGCTAAGCACTGTGACCTGAGCCTAGACCCTGTGGACATTTGGCCAGCACAGAGATGAATAGATAGCTTAAGATAACCTGTGTGATCCTGCCTTTCACAGTTCTGTCATTCCAGAAGATACCACATTTAGAGCTGGCTTACATCCTTGCACTGGGACAGCCCAGGGACACTTGAGTCCCTATCTATTCTGGGAGCTAGGCAGTGCTTTTTCTTCGTGGTAGATTGTAAATGGGAACCATTGACCTTAGGTTTCAGGTGTTCATTACAATTATAGACTGTCTGGTCTACGCTGATACTGCAGGAGCAGGGGTGGGGCTAGGGTGGGTGGGAGGATGAGATGCAGATAGCAGGAGTTATGTACTGATCTCATACATTCTTGTTTTCATTCAACAGATACTTCAGCACCAGATCTGTGCCAATCTGTGTGCTGAGTACCAGGGCGGTATGGGGACCATGGGACACAGCCCTAAGGAGCTCTCAGGGTGGGGGTGTCAGGGGACACCCTGTCTTGGTCCTTGTGGAATTCATTCCCACCATGAGGCTGAGAACCTAGCCTTACTGCTCCCCAAGCTGCCTCTGCTAGCTGTGTCCAGAGTGGGTCCTTGTGTATCCAGTTCTCAGAGAAAGAGGAGATATAGCCTGATCTATTGAGACCTTCACTAAAGGTCTTCACTTCTCCCTCTGTATCCCAGGATGACAGGGTCAGAATGTGTTCCTGGGAGTATGGGAAGGAAGTGTTTCCAGTTCTGTGAGTGGAGCAGTGAATAACCAGGTTATAGGTGCCACCTGGCTTTGAGGTGTGGATTGACAGCTTCCTAGCCATGTCTTGGCTGATTCCTGAGAAAAGCCTGGTGGAGGCAGCCTACTCTCTTGTGGATTTAGGAAGTAGCACAAGAAGGGGTACCACTGAGGCAGGACAGTGGCAGTTGCTGGGGACCCCTTCATATCAAATGCTCCTTGAGTCCCACATCCTGGAGACCCCCTATATGAGACGAGACTGTGAAGTCTGAGCAGATGGCTTCTGTGAAGCAGGAGGAAAGATGTCTACACCCTGGGCCTGAAGGCCTTGGCATGACTGAGAGTAAGGAAGGAAGTGGGGAGGAAGAAGGGAGCTTGTGTTGGGAACTGAACCCTGGCAGTGGCTCAGTGTGTCCTCTACAGTCCAGGGTGCAGCATTCAAGGTACTTGAGGGAGGAGGCTGAGTTCCAGGCACTAGGGTCACTGAAGGTAGATATCTGTCACAGACCTGCCCACCTTCATGTATTATTGGTCCACATTGCCCTCACATAGCTGGGGGACAGATCCTGGCTGGAAAAACTGCTCTGCTCTCAGCTCCCCTTCTGAGATGGGTGCTTAGGTTTGGAAATGGACTGTAGCCTCTCCTTCTGGGCCTGGTCCTGGAACCTAAGTAAAGGAAAGCTCAGAGGACCTTGTGTGCCTACTGATCCTGGCCAGCTCTGGCCTGTAGGCAGGAGCTGGTGGCTGGAATGCTATCTCAATGCCCATAGATCTGTCCTGTCCAGCCTGGCCCTTCACCTCTTACTCTACCTTCTGCTTCTACCAGTCTAGATACTGTGTTTATGGCTTAAGCAACCTGCCTACCTGCTGTGTGGGAGCCCCGCTGAAGCAAGAGGGTGGGGCAGCCAGTTGGATTTATATGACCAAGACTGGCCTGGATTTGCTCTTATCTACCACCTAGCAGGAAGTGCTTGCCCTAGCCATGGATGGTGTGGGGAGAACTGGAGGCATATTGGGTTCTGCCTTTAGAAAGCTAGACTGCTATGGAAACCCCCTTCTCTTAGACCATGAGAATGGAAGCCTGGGACCACTATGTCTGCAGGACCTGAGGCTAAGTCAGGCCTCTGTTACCCTCCCTTCTCAGTCCATGTGGATATCCCCCCACACCCTTCCAGAGGCACTTAGGTTAGACAGAGTCAGGGAAGGAGTGATGAGCTTATGGGCTGGGCACAGACTGTCCCTTACCTCAATTACCCTGGTACTGCCCAGGCTTTTGCTGTACAGCAGGTTATCTGTGGGACAGGTGTGAAAGATGAGCACTTCTCTGACCACTGGAGCTGCCCTTGGAAAGGAGGTGAGGTGAGGTGATTGGAAAGGGCTTTGGATTTACCCTTCTTGCTTTGAATTGAGGTCTCACTGCTTACCAGCATGTGACTGTGGGTGAGTCACTGGTCTGTTTGTCTCATTTGTTGAATGGGAATGAAAGAATCACTTACTTCAGGGTTTTTTTTTTTTTTTTTTTTTTGCCTTCTTCTTTAGTTTTCTTTTTGGTGCTTGGGATTAAATCCAGGGTCTTGTGCCTGCCTAGTATGATCTACCACTGAGCCATAACCCCAGCCCAGGATTTTAGTTTTTGTGGGGACTAAGTGGTGAGGATAAGACCCAACCCTTGGCCCCCAATATCTGTTTAGCACTTGGGACTTCTAGCCTTGCCTCTGAGATCCTTCACTACTGGGCTTCTGTACTTTCAAAACCCTGCCTTCCTGCCACAGGTTGCTGGGCTGTGTCAGGAGGCACAGTAGGGCCATTGTGTAGGCTGTTTCTAGCCAGCGCCTAACTCTCTGATTCCCAAGTGGCCATGGGTTGTGTGGTGCAGCTCTAGAGTGGGTCTGCTTAGGTTTGAATCCTGACTCCAGCACTGTCTTGCTGTGTGATCATTGCTGAGTGGCTTGGTTTCTTGGGCCTCAGGAACAGGGTTGATAGTAGCACCTGCCACACAGTGCTATTTGGATTTGATGAGCAGATGAGTAGAAGGCAGAAACTGGTGCCGGTGGTGAGGCCTTGTCAGATATTAGCAGTTGTTAGGAGTTACTTCAGGGAGTGGAAGGAGAGGAAGTTTTCTGAAAGAATTCTAGGTGGAAATTCTCAGAAAGCTACAGACCCCATCTCTCCTGAGGCTGGCCTCCTGCTGCTTCTTCCCGTCCCTCCAAGCCTGAAGCATGGGTCCTGACCTCTGACCTGGCTATCTGCATCAACCCTTGTCCTGACTAGTGGGCACCAGCTGCTCATGAGGCTTGGGGTGTTGACCCGCAGCATCCAGGAGGGTAAATGAGGCCCACTGTCTAACTTCTATAATGGGAAGGTTTCACTGCTCTGTTCCCCTGTGAGTTCAAGCAAAGGACACTACCTTTAGTTACCCTCTTACTTTGTGTAGCTCCAGGTTGGGAGGGCTGGCATGGAAGGGACTGAGGCATTCTCTGACCCTAGGACTGGCATATGGTACAGCTGTCCATGTTGGTTGTCTGCTTGGGGGTAGTGTTTGTAATGAACCTGATGGACACAATTTCTCTTACCTTGATCCTGGAAGATAGCAATCTTGTCCTGTTCCTAATGTCAGTGAGGTCTTGGCCAGGCAGGGCCCTCAGGTGGCTCTCTTCATTGTGGCCGAACAGCACAGTATTGTCAGAATCCTGTGAGGTCTTTCCGGAAGGGAGAGTGGAGCTGGTCTTAGGACTGGCCCATACCGGGAATCTTCAGGTTCCAAACAGATTGCCCTCTTGCCTTCTTGTTACAGTGCTGGGACTCAAGGGGCTATGCAGCCCAAAGGAGATGCCCTGGACTCTGGCATGTTCCTGTCTCTTTCCTGGTACTAGTGCTTTGAGGGAGGATTCTGAGTTAGCTTTCCTTTACCCAAAGTAGTGGCAGGTTTTGTCACTGCCCTGTCTCCCTCGTGTGGTTTATGGCTGGTATAGTTCTGGTGTAGCTCTTGTGCTATGCATAGATATCCAGATAATTGCTGATAGGGAAGAAAAGGAGCAAGCAGGTGGGGAAAGCCTAGGCATTTATCCCAGGGTTAGGCACAAATAAAAATGTTGCATTGAACCAAGGTATGTAGTGTATCTTGCCATCAGAACACCCACACCTTTTGGCCCCTTGACAACCTTAATAGGACATTTTTCCTGCAGGTACACCTGGGCTTTCCTGGAAGGCCAGGGAACCCTTCCCCTGCTACTGGACCCAGCCTTACCACTCATTGGATTGTTTTAGGGCTTGTCTTATCACCTAGCTGTCACCTGGTTCAGCTGTTTCCCAGCTCTAGCTTGTCTTAGTGGCAGCTGAGGCTCTTCTTAGGCTGCCCCCTAGGTACTAGTCAGGGCAAGGTTAGGGGAGAAAATGTCCTTCTTAAGGAATTGAGGGGTTGCTCAATTGGAAAGGGAGTCTTTGTGTCCCACGCACCTCCAGGACCCCAGGAGCCCTGTTTCCTTACTAGCTGCCACTCTCCCGTGTGGCAGGAACTCATCTTTTTCTCCAGGTGGAAGGAGAGGAGGTCAGGTTATCACTGAGGTGCCCTAAGAACATTCTGTGCACACAGGATTCTGGACCTTTCTGCCTTGAGGTCTGGGGTGGTGGGAAGAGATGGGGAGGCCTTATTACTGAGCAGAACAAGACTTGCACCCTTGGTGGGTATTTGGAATAGGGGAGGAGGGGCAGTTTGGTGGGGAGCATCAAAAAGCTTTAAGGGGATGGGTTGAGCTGAGTCTTACAGGGTGGACAGGAGTTTCCCAGCCTCAAGGACTCTGGAATAGGGTGAAGAGGACATTTCAGGCTAAGGAAGTAGCTTATGAAAAGGCAGGAAGCCTGGGAGTGTGTGGCATGTTTGGCTGCAAATAGTTCCTTGTGAGTGTGTGTGATGGTGTGGAAGGGGAGGAGGCTGGCAAGGTGGGATGGGCCAAAGCCTGAATCTGTTCCTCCCTTTGCCACATAGACAGTCAATGGGTGCCTCTCCATCTGAGCTCTGGCCCCCGCTCAGGCTGGGAATGTAAAGATGTAAGGTGAGTGTATGGACAGATCTGGGCAGTGTTGGGTCATGCTAATAGACTACCTTGCATGCTGGGCTCTGGAGTCTAGTTTCATCTTAGAGGTGGATTGGGAGCCACTGAGAGGTTCTCAGCAGGGTGATCATGGTGTTCTAATACCTTTTGTGGACTGAAGAGAGTATTGAGCTGAAAGTTTCATGAGGGCTGCTGAAGTGATACCAGGAAAAATCCTGGAACCCCAACTCAGCTCATGTAACCTTCCATCTTTTGCTGTCTCTCTCCTACATTGGAGGTTTTCTTTTGTTAGCACAGATTGCTAGGGTCAGGGACATGGAGATAGGCTTTGTGGCAGGCACCAACCCTTGGCCTCTCCAGGGATGCCTCTGGAAAACTGCCTCAAATCTTGAGGTGTGAGTGGGGCAGGCCCACCATCTAGAGACAAGAGGTGGTACTGCAGCAGTCTCCTGGGCCTCTGGGTAAAGTGACTGTGCTGCTACTAGGATAGACCTGATATGGCAGGGGAGGTTGTAGGGAGAGGAGAGAGTTACCAAGACACTCCGAAAGGCTCCCTAAGAGGGCATTTGAACCTGAAGGATGAGTGGGAGGAGCTGCATATTCCAGATTAGTGTGGATGGGCATTCTAGGCCAAAGGACAGTTGTTAAGGACTGTGTCTTAGCTACTAATAACCAATACAGTCAAAGAGCAGTTGGTTAGTGTGTGGCCCAAGCTAAGCCCTTGTGAAATAGCTCTTAATATGACAGTGCTGTAAGTAGCTGTCAAAGAACTGGGACTCTAAGAAGCCAGGGTACTTGGCGAGGATCACACGACTCAAGATTGACACCCTTGCTGTCCCCTCTCCAGCTCTGGTTATAACCACTGCACCATATGTACTACCTGATGCTAAAACTCTGATCCAGACTTGATGTCATTAGATTCTAGGGGGCAGCAAGGGGACCAGAGCCACAGGGGGTGACCCTTCCTCTAGGGTCTGCTCCGAGGTAAGTGTAAGGTAGGTGTACAAATCCCAGCAGTGTGATTCTAAGGCAGGGCTGGGTTGGTGAGAGTAGAGGAGGCACATGACAAAGAATATCCTAGGGAATTGGTAACAGGGCTTGGAAAGGGCTAGACTGGGTGGGCAGAGGCAGGCAGGTAATAATGACTTCACAGTGCTGAGAAGGTGAACCGGGGAGGGGACTAAATGGAGGCAGAGGGAGTGGCTTGTTTAAATTTAGGGGTCAGATGGTCCTGGGTAGAGGGAGAAGAGAGCCTTCAGGGTAAGCAAAACCCAGAATTGAGACCCCAAGATCTAAGCATCCTAGATTCAGGTACACCTACTCCTGGGAACCCAGCACAAGGGCTGATATCTTAAATAGCAGGAAAATGGACAAGGGAAATAGGCAGCTGGAGGTGTGACAAAGTGGAGCCTCTTGACATCAAGGAAAGTCTGGCCATGTAGGCCTTCAGTCAGTCTTGGATAGAGTTGGAGGCTCACAGATGAGCTTCATCTGGCCAGGGCTGCTGGGAACCAGGGGAAGGAGGATGATGGGGGAGAGAGGAGCAGAGTAGAAGTGCTGGGAGAGGGGGCCACAAGACATGGAGGGAGCCAGCAGTCTGGGGCTTAGCCAGAAAGAGACTTGGGAAGTAGGGCACATTCTAGGATGGGGCCTGGGTTGGAGAAGAGGTCTAATGTTCTGACAGTGGTTTCCACAGCCCCTCCACAGCTAGATTCATGTCCCCACCCTCCTGGCTTTTACTCTGTGTATACACCTGCCCCCCCCCCCCCAGAGATGGAGATTTCCTGGGATGTGACCAGGAAAGAAGAGCTGTGGGCTGTTTTCTTGTCCACATTCCTCAGTTCTGCTTCCTTAGCTGCCATTTCTCTGCCAGTGAATCTTGTTTCTCGAGGAGCTAGGAGGACAGTGAACTAATCTAGACCTTGAGATAAGCCAGTCTTCAGTCTTTCTGGAGGCCCTCAGGAGGTGGGAGGCCCCCTCAGTGGTGCTGTTGATGGTCTGTATGGAGGGTGATGGTGCAGAAGTCCTCTCCGTCCTTCCCTCTCCTGGGTTCCTGGAGGACAAAAAAACAAGTCTTATCCCTCACCATGACACCTGGGTCTTCAGCATAGGGCATGGTATGCTGAAGGAATAAATGAAGGGGTAGATATGAGGCCTGCAGCATAGGCAGGGGCAGTGAATGGGTTTTGGCAAGAAAAGAGCTCTGTTTTGGGATCTGGGGCTTTGTGGTCTGTGGAGCAGGTAGTTCCCGGGCCTGACCTAGCATAGACAGCAGGAGGTGTGAGAACTTTCCTTTACCCAGCTCTGAACCCTGCTCTGTCTCCATAGGTGCCCCCTGAGAAGTGCCGCTGTGCAGTGGGCAGCATCTTGAGTGAAGGTGAAGAGTCACCTTCCCCTGAATTGATCCATCTCTACCAGAAATTTGGCTTCAAGATATTTTCCTTCCCAGCACCCAGCCATGTGGTAACAGCCACCTTCCCTTACACCACTGCCCTGTCCATCTGGCTGGCAGCCCACCGTGTCCATCGTGCCTTGGACACCTACATCAAGGTGAGGTATGAGTCTGGTATGTATTTTGGGAGGTCAGCCATGTTCCTTGGTGGGGAATCAGGGGTGACTGCCCAGGATGGGAAAAAGGTAGTTTGGTAGGGGGCAGCACTTTGGGACCCTCATGTAGCACATTCCCGGAGAGCTAAGAAGATGGGCAGAGGCTGTTGGCATCTGTTTGAGAAGCCCAAAACCTTGTGGGAGCCAGAGTGTCTCCCAGGAGCTTGTTCAGAAACCTGGCCTGGTCTTTTGGCTTTGGTTTTGGCAGTGTCTCAACTGGGGATGTAGCTCAGTGGTGCCGGTGCCTGCCTGGTTTTGGAAGTGTTTTAGAGCTCATCCTGCACTCCATGCTCTGATGAATGGATAGGACAGCACTTTCCTCATCCTGCTAGAGGCCTACAGAACACAGCCTTGAGTCTCCCATTGGCTGGGCAGGCCCAGGTTCCCATGTGTTGTCCTGGCACTGCCTCTGCATGGGCTTATGAGCCTGCTCCCTGAGCCCAGGACTAGGGCAGCAATGGTAGGTCCTGTCTCCTTCTCTTCCTGTGCTGGAAGGAAGTAATGCCAACAGCCCAGCCTACCTGGGAAAAAGAGAAGAACCAGTCACCAGGAGGTCTGACAAGGGTTTCTGTATCTACAGAGATCCTAAAGTCTGTGCCCTGCTCTACATCTTTCTTCCTCTAAACATTTTATAAGCATGGGTGCTAGGAAAACAGCCCCAGTTTGGGCTTAGAAGTGATGTTTATTCATTAATTTATATTTATTGAGTATCTGTGTGCTGGGTGCTTTGCAGGACATTATATGAAGTGTCGGTCAGGTGATGAAGATAGGTAATAACTGTCAGACAAGAACAGAAAAGATATGTGCTAGAAAAGAACAAGGTGAGAAAGTCAGGGGGCCTACTTAGGTAGAGTGATCAGGGACAGCCTCTCAAAGGCAGTAACTTCAAGGCAGAATTCTAGAAGAGCCTTTGGAGAGGAGGTTAGAATGATCTAGGCAGAGCAGGGGGAAGAGCACAAGTTTGATCTATTTTGGTGGGGAGCTACTGCAGTTCTCGATAAGAGCCATATCTTGAGACAGGCTGGCCCATCCCTGGGACTGGATTATGGAACAGAGGGTGCATGGATGTGCTTAGGGATCTGTCATGAATTCCACTGTGAATAGGAGCAGCTTGGGCTGGGCCAGTGGCCATAGAGATGCAGACCAGCATAGAGATTTCTAGAGTATTTTAGGGTAAAACTGATGGACATGGGGTAGGTTAGCTGTTGGGGGCAGGGGAAGTAGAGGCATCACAGAGGGCTCTGCTTCCCTTTGGGAAGGGTGAGTGAGTGTGGGTAACTGAGAGATTAGAGGAAGCAAGCTCTGTGGGCTATCAGTGGAGCCTGCTGAATGACATCTAGGTGATAGTATGGAGACAGCTGATGACAGTGACGTATGGAGAGTCTAGAATTCAGAGAGGCATTGGCTGGAGGATATGTTTTGGGATGTCAGCCTGCTGACAGCATTAAGTCTGGGAGGCTGCCCTGTGCCTCCATCCTCTGGGCACTGGACAGCTGGTGGCAACAAGGACTGTGCAGAGGGTGAGGCCAGTGTGGCTAGGGCCAAAGTATACGACAAGAGAGCCAACCAGAGTGGGAGCTTCGCAGACTTGGGTGAAGGAGTCTTGTGACTTTGTCCTTCAGAACAGATTTGGGACAAGGACAGGAAACAGGAGCTCAGACAGGTCCTGGGTAAGGAGGTGCAAGAGTCTGGGCTGGGGAATGAATAAAGGAGGCCCTGGGTTACCAGCTGTGGTCATTGTGGTCAAGGCCAGGGTTGCAGAAGCAGGCTGGCAGACCTGGAGATGGGAAGGCTGTCTTGGTGTTGTGGTGGTAGGGCAGAGGCATGGGGACAATAGAGATGAATTTCTTCTATGACCTGGAGGTTAGCAGCTCCAAGGGGTGTTGGGAGGGTGTGCTGGAAGTGAGGATGCAGGCTGGTGGTGAGGGCAGGAATGGGAGACCTCAGTGCCCTAGGCCTGCTCAGCATGCCCTCTCAGGTGAGTCCTCCCCCATCTCACTCAAGGGAGGGGCTTGGTGTCTGGTCCTGTCTGTGCCTTCCTCAACTCAAGGGCTAATCTGGAGGAGCACCCCCCTTGGAAGAGACTTCTGGGTTCCAGACCTCAGAACAGGGTGCATGGCATGAGGTGTGGTGGTGAACAACTCAGCCACCAAAGCCTTTTCCTGGCTTCAGGGGTTTATTTTTAGACACCTTTGTCCAAATTTCCCGGCCCCTGACAGCTTCACAAGTTGCCTGGTTTTTGACGTCACCTCTTTGATATAAGCCCTTTCTCCTTCCTCCCCCTCCCCTGGAAGCCTGTCAGCTGTGTTCTGGGCTCCTTTCTTTTGGGGTGGGGGCTGGGGTGAGGAAGCCATGATATGGGAGGAAAGCAAGGGGCTTCTCCCAGAGATGTCTGGGTGGCATGCTTGTGTGAGTATGGTCACGTGCTGTGGGAGAGAAAGAAACCAGGCTGCCCACAGAGTAGGCTCAACCCAAAGTTCTCACCTTGTTTCTGTGGCAGGGGGCAGGGGTCACCTCTATTCCTGGTTTAGAGTGACCTTGGTTCCTAGGGAGATGAGGAAGGAGCTGGCTCTGTGTGGTGGTCACAGTCTGCAGCAGACAGGGTGGCCCTCTGCCTCTTCCGCCCAGGACTCAGTGAAAACAGGGTGGAAAGGTTGCCTCCCACCCTCCTCCTTCCTTGCTGCCCTGTAGTGAGAGAAAAGTGGCTACTAATGAGACTCTGGGTGCTTCTGACTTTCAACCCTGACAGCTAGCTGCCTTTAACTGTGAGCGTGATACATGTGTACACTCTCTCTCTCTCTCTCTCTCTCTCTCTCTCTCTCTCTCTCTCTCCTCTCTGGCTCTGGGACTGCTGTGAAGGTTCTTCAGATGGAATGACAGCAGTTGTCAGCATTCTGTTTCAGAGGGTAGGGTGAAGGAGGGAGGCCGGGAGCTGGGCTGCCAGAAGGGGAGGGAGGGCTTGGCAGGGTCACCTGCCTCCCCAGAGGCTGAGGTGAGAGGTTGGGTGAATAGGTCTCAGAACTTTGGGTGGGGAAGTGGAGAGCAGCTGCTATCCTGCCAGTGGCAGATGTGCCTGAGCCTGGGGCATTATTGGTTTCATGAGACAGTGAGGGACCTGGGGGTCACTGCGAGGGCCCAAAGAGATGCATTTGTCAGTCCCCCTGGGGATTCTAGAAGGGATGGGTAGATCCCAGCTTTGTGCATGACAGCTCTGGCTGTCTGGCCAGGCTTCCTCTGCTTGACAGCCTGGAAAACTGAGCTGTAGGAGCAGAAACTCTGCCTTTTTTCACATAAACTGCTGGAGAACCCTTCAGGCTGGGCACTCTGGGACAGCGTGTAAGGAATCCCTGGGTACTGTGTGACCATCACTGAATGTGGAAGATGCCCCAGCTTGCTGAGGCTGCTCTACTGGCATCCAAGAACAGACTACTCCAAGGCCCAGGGGTCATCTTCTGGTAGCTGCAGGAAGAAACTGGGCTTGTTGCAAGCCTGCAGAAGAGAGAGGGCCAAGATACAAGCCTAGAGCAATGGGCAAAGGCACTAAACTTCACCTTAGGTTAGAAGAAATCTTTTTTTTTTTTTTTCTGCAGTACTGGACATTGAACTCAAGGCCTTCACAATGAGGTACATTACATTCCTGGGCCTTGACAATTTTTTTTTTTTTTTTGAGACAGTCTTGCTAAGTTGCCCAAGCTAGGCTCGAACTTTTGATCTTCCTATCTCTCAGTCTCCCAGAGTGCTAGGATTACAGTTGAGTGCCACCACACCTGGCTTAGAACCAATTTTAATCAATTTCCAGGAAGGCTTTGAGCACATGGAGTGGACCAGGATTGAATGATGGAACTGGGGATCCCATATGTGGGATTGTTCATGAAAGGTCAATAGAGCGGGACTTGGCTTGTGGCTGTCTGTAGCAATTAGTGGGTAACATTAAGAGTGTTAGTCTGACTGCTTCCTTCCCACTAAATTTGGCTCTCCTCCCAGCAAGGTCCAAAATCTTCTCCATAAATTCATTTCTCTGGGTCTCTGATTTCTAGGAGTTCTTACGGGAGGGTCCTTATAAAATGCTTTGAGCATTTTCCAAGTTTAGGGAGACAGGGCATTGCTTGATGGTGGCTTATTATTGGCTGGGGCCAGGTAGGCCCTGGAGGTCAGACTTGGCCCTTTCTCTGTAGAATTAGAGAAAAGGGTTGCAAGGGCCGGGAATGTAGCTCAGTGACACCATGCCTGACTGGCAAGCGCAGGGTCCTGAGTTTGATACCTGGTACTGGAGAAGGGTTCGAGAAGAACTGCCAAAGGGATGTGGTCTGACTGTGAGGGGAGCCTTGGCTGAATTCTGGGACAACTGAGTTGCCTGGGATTGGCCTACTAGAGTCTTAAAGGGGGAAGGGACCTCAGACCATAGTTCTGAGACTACTCTGGGATGGCAGCCATAGTGCTGTGTTGAGGGGTCCTGGTACTTGCAGTGTGGGGTGGGCTTTGTACTGAGACCCTTACCTGCTTCAGCTGGTAGTAGCTCTGCCTAAGGTTTTACAGTCCAGTTGACATCTTGGGCTTTTGTTTGTAAGTGGGCTTCAGTGGCTAACTGGTTTGAAATCCTCTATCCCAAGAGAGTTGCACCACTGGGCAGATGCCATTTTACCTCTGCCAGCTGCTTGCCTATTTTGGGTTCCAAGGATGCTGCAGCAGCTGCAGTGTGAGTGGAGCCGGAAGGCACCAGGCCCATCCTCCTGCAGGTAGGGGTAGGGGTTCCCAGAAAAGGCAATTGTTTCCTGGGGAGCAGTACTCATCAGAAGCTGAACCTGAAGGGGAGCCCTGGGTTGCTGCAGGTTGAGCTCTCTCTAGGGTGGAGATGCTGGGTAATAACATGACAATGCCATGGGGCAGCCATCTGGGAACTGGGGCAGGAAGTGTTGGTGCCTGTGGAAGTGAGTCATCCCTGT